ATAAATGCTTTGGCAGTTGGAAAACTGCAAGCTTCTAGTTCCACAGTGAGATTTCTGCTTCTTCAAAAGCACTGTACAGGCTGATCATATAGGTGGGGACAGTAGACTACTGGGTAGTCCTCGAAGGCGCATTCGTTTTAGGCGAAAGAGGTGCTCGTCAAAGAGGGAGGCGCATTGGATGTCTGTCTCCGCCTGCACGATCAGCGCGGACTTTGCCTTTTAGAAGATGATTGCACACATAGTAGAGGTAGTGTCTGGTTGCAACGAATGCTAGGGCATGTCTAGGAGCTGGGTTTGACGCAGCACCAGCCCGTTTTCCACTAGTTGTTGTCGCCCGCTCGCTTCAACAATTGATGGAGAACAGGTTGGTGCCGCGCCAAACACAGCCTCAGTGATACGCACCAGCACTCCGCAGCCAGCAAGACTGTACGGTTTCGAGTGACCGAAATATGCCACACATACGAATTCTTCTCAGAATCCTAAAATTACTAATGTCCTGACTGTAAGAGATATGAGGGAGGTAATTAATGCTCGAAAAAGTTGGCTTGACTCCCCAGAGAGGTCGTGTGATAAATAAAACCTATTCGCGGTCACGGAAGAGCTGCTGGCTTTACGGAGATTTAAACCTGTAGCACAAAAATGTCCACTTCAGAATGTGGAAATGACAGGAGAAAATCAGTGGCAGTAAAAGAGGAAACAGGGCGATCTTACGATATCAGAAAGATAATAGAATATCTCCACTGTTGTATAAGACATCTAATTGATAAATATACAGAGGGGCCAAAAAAGACACTTCGGCCGAGTCACATATCAGCAAAGTTTTCGCAGCCCAGACAGAAGACGTGGATACGAGTACCAGGGCGGAAGATACCCAAGATGTTCCTCGATAAGCAGGAGCTGGCTCTCGCCCATCACCTTCATGTACACCAAAATATGAAGTCATCTCCAGTCGCAGCCTGACTGGAGAAGGCCTTTGGAATTCACGTCACCTCCAAACAGCTGCGAAACTTCTTGTATGGAGTCACCCATGGACAGCTACCTGGAGACCAGCACTCTTGATCTGGAAGACCTCCAACATCGAGCAGCTCCGACAACGTCGCCACGGTCCAGGATATCATCTTCACCACAGTCGCCAAGGCGCGGGTTGATGGTATGGACCGGAAGTTCCTGGAATGGGAAGACCGATATTTTCTTCGTGGACCCCGGACTGGAAGTGAATACTGGCAGTAAAAGGATAAAGGATAAAGTCTTCGCCGTTGATCAATCCCTTTGTGGGATGCGGCACGCATTCTACTTCCATTCAGAATCGTAGTGGCTTATTGAATGCGATGTGGCCTATACAATGACTTGCGGTGGCCAGCCGATGTACAAGTCAGTGTTTTATCCTCCCAGACGAATCTGGTACCAATTCACCGTCCCCGGAGGGTAGAAGGCTTGGTTGGCCTGGGCGGGAGTCGACCCGGGATTTGAACCCGGCGCCGCGCGAGTGGTAAGCGCGCCACTTGTCACTACACCACCTCCGCCTCCAGTTGACTGACGGTTACATCGACCAACTCGAGGAGAATATCCTGCCTTCATGTCGTCGCCTGTACCATCTTGGAAACTTCGTACTGCTACAGGATTGGGTGCCAGCACATGGAATCGAAGGGCGTTGGAAAAACTCTCGCCTACTTGGAATCGAAGGGCGTTGAGTACCTGAAGAAGACGGAATATCCAAGTGTGTCACCTGACCTAAACCCCTCGATTACCGGGTTCGGGCGGAGCTCAACAGGGTGGTCTACAGTGGCGGAGAAATCAACGACCTCGCTGAACTCAGGCACCGAATCACGGTCGCGTGGCAGAATCTCTCGATGGCGCTCGTCCAGAAGGCTGTGGCGGAGTATATGATAGTGTACAATGTGTTGTTGAATTTGATGGTGAAAATGTCCAATCAGGATCTAATTTGATAAAGTGTAACTTATATCGCCTTGAAAGTCGAGGAA